TAGTTATCGCGTAACATATATACAAAACCTTACAGTGTAATTGAGAACCTCCTCCTTTTTTAAAGTCAGTTAAAAATTACTATAAATTATGGTTTTCAATCAGAATATTACATAAAAATTTATTATTATGTAATATTTTTTAAAATTTACATTATTCCTTCTATCATTTTATACCATAAAAAAAAGATCTGAGATGTTTCATTGAATCCGTTTTGTGTAAGAAAATTCGTATTTATTTCCTGCTCGAAGCACTTGGCGGAATCGACACGGTTCGCCCATTAAACTTTACTTGGAATCAGGTGCCTATTGAATATAGGCATTGTTACTTTTTAGTACAAACGGCGGTGCAATGATCGACTATTATTCAAAATATAAACAAAAGTAAAGACCTTGAATTGGATATAGTCAGCTGCAGTTAGATACTTCTACCACTTCTGATAGTCATTCACGCAGCTCGTAAGGCCGCCTTACTAAGGCGTGGTGTTTTATTTCGAGGCTAGATTTTAGAAGGTACGGTAAGGGTCGCTTTCACGTCCCATAATTCTTATGACAATTTTTGTTAATTAATTTGGTTATGGAAATCAGGTCTTGAGAGAATTTTAATGTAGGTAATTACCCTTTGATGTAATTTTTTGTTGACAAACCTTAAATTTGTATGATAAGATTGTTTTACGATTTTTTTCTTGTTTTAAGCTTAATTCATGCAAAAAAGGCTAAAACATTTTTTTTATAAACAACGAATGGAATCATTCATATTTATTTATTACACATTAAATACGTAATTTATATTATTCTACATTTTTTTGTTTTAATTTTTATTTACTTCGCTGGCGCAGCGACCCGAAAACTTTCTTCGACCCTTAAAAGACACTGTCAAGTATGAAGCTTCATTCGCATCATGTATTGCTTATTTGACAGTAGTTGTTTCGAACATAGAACGACAGTACAGGGCCTGTGTCGTCTCTCGCCAATTGATGGTTTGTAATTTGCGTAGGCCCGCCTCTACGGCAACATCACTACAGCGATACCTGAGACGACCAAATAGTATAATATACGCTGATAACAGCCTTGGAAAACAGAACAGCTGCAGTTAGTAGTTACATCGATGAATACAATTTCGATTCTTTTGTATCTGTTGTTTATAGGCACAAAAGTTACCGAATTATTTTAAAAATCTTCATAAGAATTGTGGGATTTAGTTAATATGAATAAAATAAGAACAGGCGGAGTATTAATAATATTTGTATGACTATTTCTATCTACGTATTCATATACTCATGTTTATTAATAATTATTATGGAAGAAATGGCTTCATAGCAATAAGGCCGCCTGTTGCACATTATCTTACTATCTCTATTCTTAAGTGACTGTATGGTTTTTTAACTGTAATTTTATGTGCAATAAAGAGTATTTCATTAATTCATCCATTTTATTTTAGTCTGTTTTCATGATTTTATATGATCGAATAAAGTACATCCTATCGTGTAACAAATTATCACATTCTTTAAACAATATCTTTACGTGCATCGTATATTTTTTGTAAGACCGTTATATAATAGTAAACACTTAAACCATTTGATTTAGCAGAACAGTTTTTTCGGTTATCTGTCAGTAGTCCAAAATGACGTCTTCCAGAAATAACGTTAGCTCGAATTTTCATAACCACGAAAGTAATTTTGAGAGGAAAATGTTTTTCTTTTGAACCTTACTTAACCTAACCTAACCGAAACTACTCGTGTCTTTACGATAAACATCCAACACATCCTGGAAGAACAACGGTTTCGTTATAATTCGGTGTTTGGTGTAATGAAAATTCGAACAAAAGTTATTTCGGAAAAAAGTCGAGTTTTTGACACATTACCGTTTTTTCACTTCTCTTCCGGTAACTCACCTTAAGGGTCGGCTTTGATATCTATTTATGGAATTCATTTTCCGCTACAACAAAAATAGCCTTTTCTTGCCCTGTTTTCCTTTTTGATCAAAGACAGTCAATTTAGAACGTTTTTTGTAATATCGGAAAATTGGGGTTATTGTGCTGCTGGAGGAAATGTCTAAAGAATGAACTGGATCTTGGATCTTTTTAATCCATAATTATAACGAGGAAACAAACCCATTATTTTAGCTAAATAAAGATAAAAAGCTAGAAAGCTAAAAGATAAAAAGCTTTCTAGCTTTTTATCTTTAAGCTAGAAAGCTTTTATCTTTATTAAAGCTCTCTTCTTTTGAGGAGAACCTCAAAATAAGAGAGCTTTCATATGTCCAAGAAGATGGAGTTGGTACGCACTGTTAAGCAGCGAAATATTGCCTATTTGGGTCATGTACTGTGTGACATGACAGATATCACACTATAATGATGGTCAAAGTAGCTGGGAAGCGGAAGATTGGAAGAAGGAAAATGTCATGGCTTCGTAACATCAGGGAGTAGATCGGCATCAAGACCGTGGAACATATATAATATAAAGTAGATATATAATATAAACTCAATTAATCCATTGTACACTGGTGTCCTCGAAGGGGAAGGATCACTATTTTATCACGCTCAAAATGTATATCTGCTTAGTCACAGGGCTGCCAGACGGTTATAATTGATTAATGGTAGAAAAGTTGTAATCCGATGTAAAATTCGTGTACATTACGTCTGGTGACCCCGCTTATGTTTATTTAATATACTTGTAACCCTCTCTAATCTCCCACTGACCTCCACGTATAGTGACATCTCATCATCTCAAAGGCCTTCATGTCATTCAAGTCAACTCAATTTCTATCGCCACGGGGTGTCACTCAATTTACTTGCCTCGTGTTTTTACGATCCTGTTTACTTCTAGCGTCCCTATTAGTTTGTGGTCTGTAGAAATTTATTTAAAGCACGTATACAGGGTTACAGGTTGAACAAGATAAACATTTGAAGAGGCGAATGTGTAGTTGATATTCACACCGAATACGTAAAAAAACTCTACCTTGTATTATTTTAAATATTTTTCTAACATTTTGTAATACTCTGCGTAAGATCGAACATGCAACGAGCGCCCGTTACCCTTACCGGCCTGTGCGCACGTTTTAAATGAAGGGAAAATTTAATTATTCTTAATAGTAGGAAGCTTGACATGAGTTCAATTTCTTACCTCTCAACTGTTCTGTTTCATAGAGTAGCCCAAATAAAGAGTGTGATAATATTAGTAAAATGGCACGAATTTTTTTCTCATGTTTAGGGGCGACTCTTTTTACATAATCGGATTAGATATCAGTTATTCGTTTGCTTCTTTAAATATTTATCTTGTTCAACCTGTCGCCCTGTATACACTTGGACATAAGTGTAATGTGGTCTGGCTAAATAAAAGTTAATCGTTACTTAGGTAAAAGAGCCGCACATGTGAATGGGTGACCTGCTAACTAAGTAGCTTTGTGAGATCATCGTCGTGGGTGTATGTGGCAGGCGTGTACAGCCAGCTTTATTTCAGTTTGACTGTCCTTTTCGCAACATCGGCTATCTCACCGGCTGTCTCAAGCCAACTGCCCTCAATATGGTTTTCCCTTCTAGCAGGTAATGCAGTCGGGATGTAGAATGCTACGCTAAGAAGCGTAAACAAGAGAGTGACAGTTTTTATATGGCCACCAAATTCCTCTAGCTCGCCTCAAAAGCCATAAAAGTTTCCAGCGCACCATAAAGGTTACGAGTGACCATGCACTGTGGAAACGGAAAAAACTGCAATGATGTAAAAATGTATAATGAAGTTTAAACAGAGATTATTTATTACATTTAACTGAATGGAATTATTTATCAAATTATTCAGATTTAGCTTTATAATGTTACTAAGCACTAAGTTTGCGAAGCAAGCGCTATTACAAAATATGTTTGCAAAGATCGGGGGCAGGCTGAAAACCAATGCTGAGCGACTTCCACCGCTCAGTAAATGCTGAGACTGTCTCCCACACACAATTAATTTAATGTATATATGAATTTAATTTATTTTTCCATTCATAAGTAATCTTTTAAGCTTAGTTTTGTTATGTAATCAATGTGTGGAAATAAACGGTTTAAATACTTCAAGAGCAACTACCACGAGATTGCAATCTGCGGTGGCTCGTGCGGAAGTCCTAAAATCGACTCCGCACTCAGGTAGGACGCTGCAGAGATACGATGTGTAAATGGGTTTCAGGGAAGCTAGTCTAACACAATGTGACTGCGGTGCCCCAATACAATCCACGCAGCACTTACTGTTGTGCCCCTTGTGTCCTACTATCCTGAACGTGGGAAGATCTCAGCGGAGTCAAGGCAGTAACGTACTATTCAGGGTCAATATTAACCTAAAATAAAAGAAGTATCGACACGATAAGAAGAAGAACTATGCTTGTCTTTGAGTGCGGCGCAACAGGTCAAGAAAGATTATGGAAGAATGAATTAATCGTGTATATTAGGGACTGGCCTAACATTGCATCAAACCGGAAACTGGAAGTGAAGAGGCGAGGTTTTCGTCAGCAAGAAAACTACATATTTCATTACTCAATAATTTATTGATATACGCTAATAATTCAATTTTATTATTTATTTTCACACTATTTTTAAGATTTAGACTCATTAAATAGTGAAGACAGAACTTTCCCTTGTCCTACTAACCCTTAAAAGAAATAAAATAATTAATTTATCATAAAGTACAAAATTCACTGAAATGGCAACATATTCTCATATAATCTATGTTTCTTTGATTTTAACTTATAATTACAGCATAATCAAATTTTGGTTCTAGGTATTTCTATAATTTTAACATTGCAGTTTTCTCAATGAAGTTAATTTTTAAACGACAAAACTTATTTATTGAGTTGTACAAATTAATATTTAGGGTAAAGGAATGATTTTAGTAAGTATAAAAAAGAAACAAATGTGTTCATTTACATTTAGTTAAAATTAAATTACAGTCCAATGAAAACAAAAAAATAATAAAAGTATATAAATATAGGTATTTATATTTCCACTACATACATTTTTGTATACAAATATATTGAGATTTTTTAATTTTTCAAACTGTTGTAATGCCAATTGTCGCTTAAATTATTTTTAATTAATATTAGGCAGTTTGAGTTGCTCTATAATTTTAAAGTCATGTATGTATGTATGTATGGTATTTTTTATTGTACAAACACAAATTATTGCTTTATATCTACCACTATGTCAATTGGCACTAGCTATTCTATCACATGGGAACCTTGCAGAGGAAGTTTAATTTTTATTACGAAAAATATATACTAGAGTAAGTAGTAGATAAAATTGAGCAACTTAAAGAAACTAAAGATTTGTGTGAGTTTCAGAAGATATTGGTATAGTATAATGAGATGAGTATGGTAAGCTCATTCGCATAATATTTAAAGGCCCGTGTGACGACCAGCGCCATACAACGCGAGTGCGTCACGAAATTATGTGAGTGTGTGCGTCCATACACAACAACTCGGCGGACGCGCACCCATAGAAACCGCGCTGTTACGTTTGTATGAAGTTACCATACTTGTTTTATTACACTATAATAGGTGTCGTTATATTCTTAAGATATTTGAGTAATTGTCTATTTAACCTGTGATACAATAAGTAGGATACGTGCACTCAGTTAAGCTTTGTCGAACACTAAATTACAACAATATTTATCGACAGAAATAAGTATTATGTAAACAAAATATTATCTGTGGTGGTGGGAAGTATAACTTGATAGTATTCCTGTGCTAAACTTGGCTGATACACTACCGAGTACCCACATAAACTGTTACACATAAAACTCGATTTCTGTATAAGCATTCCATATTTAAATAGTTTCGCTTATATCAATATCTAAAACCCGATTATAGACAATTGACAATAATCTTCATAGCTATGTTAAAAGCGACAGTTTGATAAATTCAGCTACACAATTCCCGTTAGCCACAGAAGGCTTTATCAAAAATAGAAGGTTTAGAGTTATATATGTATGTATATCACAAAATATATCAATTATTATCCCGTCTTTTGTGTTCAATACCATTCCGTTTTATAACTTGCATTATATAAATACATACTAATTTGGAATGTTTCGTGTGTTACGAAATAGTTATATTAATTATACACTTTTTTATTTAGGCTGAAAACATTCCATAAACTTGAAAATTCCCAAAAAAATTATTCCAAAATCTTAAAAACCAAGATGGTACAAGATTTTCGCACGTCTCGTCTTATAGGAACTTGGCCTAACCTCTTTGGTGCATTGAAAATGTAAGATTTATTCATACAACTTTTCGCACCAGTCGGAATGAAATGGCATTGAAAACAAAATACTTATAGGCCTGACAACCACGTTCGAACTGGACCACTGAATAAGAGGTATTCAAATTGAATTCTATTCTTTTTATGTAAATAAGCTTAATTTCAGGAAGCCACAAGTTACTAAGTTCTCTTTAATGACATCAACTCATTTAGTCCGCGGTGATATCAAATACGGTGCAGCTCAACGTTCTTAATTTAAAAAAGTGCATATTGTTTATAATAAAATCACAAAAAAATCGCTTACGGGTTGTTACTGCACTCTTTCTGAATTATCCTTATACTTAAAGAAAACTTAGTAACTTTGTAAGTATAGATAAATTAAAACCATGCAGTGTAACTGAATCAAAAACACCTAGTATGCTTATAAATCCCAATACGTAACTTAAATATGTATTTCTGAAATACTGGTTTGTACTCAAAGCACAAATAAAAGCACATCAAGTAAAAAGAAAAAAAAACCACATTGGACACCATACAGTCTAGAATATGAACAACTTCCTTAAAATTACACATATAGAGCGATAGGTAGGTCTGAAACATTTAAATTCAGTCGATAAAACTCTACTTATCCCCGAATAATATCGTATGTCACTTGTTTAATATACAGCATGCGTTATTATAATAACTACAGACATTTATACATAATATGTAATAAAATATGTTTACTTTTTTATAATAACGATTTAACCTGATAGAATTTGAACAGCTAAAACAATTAGAAGAGCGTAAATTGCTAGTTAAGCTTCTGTCGAAGGAAGTATGTTTATAGGCAATTGCATTAAAGACACTGAATTATTTGTACATATTTTGGAAACATCTATAGATAAAACTTTGGACAAATTTTCTACAAATAACGGTACAATCGCAATGAAGGACTCATAAAAAGAAACAGATGAAGAGTATTATAAGGATAATGTTGAAAATAACTTTTATAATACTACGACTAATATTTCTTAATAGACAAACGAATACATCTATAAATTATATTAATCTTAACAATGGACGAACACATAATATCATTCGAGCGAATGCAGTCTACTGACGATCATAATTAAGTCATTGCTTTCGTTCAACTTATCTACCATAAAACCGACGTAAATGCAATCTAAAACACATTAAGTGCACTTCCACAAACAATGCATGACTTAATATTCGCACCATGAAGTTAGTTAGGGCCCTCTCAGAAGTAACACGGGTTTGCCTTTTGCTCATTTGCGGGTCTCTGGTCGTAGTTGAAGCCATTATTTTTTTCTTCTTATCTTAGGAATACGTAGAAATCCACTTTGGAGCAACTGGCAGACACATGTGATTCTAAAAATGTTCTTAAAATAATTGGATTAAAAATCTCGATTTGCAAGGCAGTGCACAAAATGCGTAAAATCGTCAAAATAAAACCTTATAACTATCATCCAAAACCAGGGAAACAAACATGTGCACTAAGAGTCAAAAGATTCTATGGTAACAACTTTCAAAGATTTAATACCTTGAGATCACACTTCTCCTTTTTAAATAATAAATCACAATTTAGTAGGCTACAATTTTATCTTAAAACACGCCAGTCAGTTGAGTTTTGTATTTCAAATGTCCACTCAATAGCTCCTGGATTTCGTCCCGTACAACTAACACTACCTAAGATTTGGCTATATAGGATCACCTCCAAGATTCAAGTAGTTTTGTAGGCCATATAAACAGGTGCAGTATATGAAAATTCTTTTCATAAAATACAAATCTCACTCGCATCTGGATCACCGTCCCATAAGACTTAAAATAGTTTTTAAAGCCTTTTGGAAGGTTGGTAAATCCGAAGTTAGAACTGATACACTCTGGAGAGTATCAAATAGAATTCTTCATAAACTCCTAATAGCCAAAACAACCCTCAAATATATAGCACTGTTAGTATTGACATCCCCATGATGATGAGAATGTTGGGTGCACTTAGGAAACCTCTGCTCCAACTACAGTCCAAATCTCTTGCAAATACCTGAAAAAATAAATTACATAAGTATTTTCAACAAATTTCGAGATGAATCCAAATACTTCATCTACCAATCAAAACACTGAAAAATGGTTGACTTTTTTACAAGAAATAAGGTAACAAGTACATATAAAAAAAATTATGCTTACATCACTTAAACTTCTATTGTCGTAGTAGGGGCACGTAGCAAATCTGACATCATCTCTGGTGGCGACACACTTAGAAGGACTTTCACACAGATACTGTCTTCTTTCTCTATCCCAAGCTTCGATCCATCTGCAATGTCAAGTAACAAATGTATTAATAATTATAGAAAGTTTTAGAGTAAACAACATCATTTAATACTTTTCAACAACAACGTTCCCAATCAAATGCTCCATTAAAACAATTTCAAATTTTGGTGGGTATAATTTAAAGTTGTTATTATCGATTAATTGAAATTCGCACAGGAAAGAGTGCAGTAAGTCACTTGTTTGGCTGTAATTTAGGTCACGATCAATTTAAAAAAATGTTGTGAAGATATAAAGCCATAAATATATAATTTGCAATATCTCAAAATGTTGATAGATTAACTTACAGAATTCTTTCCGACAAATTCAGTTAGATATGTCAAAAGTTTTTGTTATCTCTGAAATAATATCTAACTAGTAATGATGATACATACCCGATTCCACAATCACAGACTAAAGGATTGCCAGCAACTAAAATGTCGTGCAAGAATACAGTATTGGGTACTCCAGGCCACTGATTCTGTCCTGGGTTAAGAACTTTAGTGATATAGTTCCATCTTAGATCAAGAGTCAAGTTCCTGACGCGTCCTGGTCTCCAAAATACTTCACTTGCTATCTCTTCAATGCTTGTGTTCACTACTGTGAGACGAAGTTCTTTAGAATGAACACCCTAAAAAGCGAAGAAGGTTACTCTCGATCTCAAATTCATGATACAGTAGCAAAAAGATGTATGGAAAGCTTTAGACTTGTCATGCACTTCATACTTACAAGAAGTAAATAAGGAGATAGATATTTCAAATGTCTTCCAGTTATCGTAATATTATTTAATTTGCACGGTAGAGATCCACTGTTCATTTCTTTGCCAAACTCCACGCCGCCGTAGTCCATTTCTACCAATAAGTTCTTCAGTGCAGCGTTATGGTTTAACATGCTAGGTAGATGAAAGTAGTTAACATTGACGTATACAGAGAGTTTTAGTGTCCTGAGGGCGTACATTTTTGCGAAAGCACCGTGCTGAAATACAAGTAAAGGTGAACTAAAATTGAACTCCTTGCACAAGAACAGTTTTTGATTCCTTAACTGTTATTGATATATCAAGAACGTACCTCAAGTATTCGTGTTCGCAACCTAGTCACATCAAGGTATTCTAATCGAGGTGATACTCCGTAAAAGCTGGTATTCATCATTGCTGTTATAGGGTTGCCGGAGAGTGACAGCCAACGAAGATCATTGAGGGAATGGGTTGCCTGAGATATAAAAACATTAAAATAGTAAGACGAGACGAGACGGTGACGGTGTGACGAGACTTGATAGATAAAAATGATGATACTTACAACAGGGACAGCTGTCAAGTCGTTGTAAGAAAGATCTAATGCTCGAAGCCGAGTTAAATTGGCAGTCGAATCTGGAGGTATTGTTGGCAGGTTGTTGAAAGATAAATCAAGACTCTTCAGCTTTGGCAGGGGCATTGAAGGAATCTGCACAAGAAACAAAAAGATACATAAAATACCTGCTGACGATAGTGTCATAGAAATACTGATTTCAAAAATGGTTATAACACATACAAATCGTTATAACTAGAAATTTGAATAAATTCTCGGTACATTAGGGCTTACAACAAGCATCAGAATAATTATGATCTAACCTATTAAAAAATTAACTGTCAGTATTTTAGAAAGCTTTCTTAATTTTCAGCATTTGGATTTTTAAAGGTGTTACTAATACTTACGTGTATCAAGCTGACATTTCTCAAACCTAAATGGGAAAGCTTCCTTTCTAGCCCTTTGAAGACTTGACTACCGCGTTCACCAGAGTTGAAAGGAGAGTTATTGCTTAAATCCAACCAACGCAGCTTAGGCAACGCTGCGAAAGTACCGCCTTCTATACGCACTAGATGATTGTTCGAAAGATCCAACCAAGCAAGAGACTGAAATCAAACATGTTGTTAGAATAATGTACGATTTAAGGCAGAGATTTTAGTGTTATTGACACAAGTGTTGAGTCAAATTGACCAGCATCAGTGATTCGTAATTGTTCCATATTACTAATCAGTGTATTTGTTATTAATTAAACAGTGTATTAAGACGATAACAAAGCACGTGTATTAAAATGATTGATGATATCTAAAAATCATTTGGCTTGAATTAACTATGCCTGGGTGAAAATAATACGAATGCTATTGGGAGAGTATTTGAAGGATGGTAAAATATTTGAATTTGTGTGATATACAATACCGCAGTATTGTACGTACTGATGAGTAATAAACATAATAATGGTGAACCAAAACCCATGAGGTGCAGCAATCAAAGAAACGTGAATGTGACCAATAGATGCACCAATCTATAATCTACCTTGAATAGAATATTCTGCGGGTATTGCTTTTTTTGATGGAAAACTCTGGTGTGATCTCGCCTAGCCGTGTGGTACATGTACTCATCGTTGTAGTCCGGTTCTTCGGGCCAGTATTCGCCTTGCTCGGGGTTCTGGCAACACATGCAGGGGAGGACGAAACGTTAGCCAAGCTACGCACACACTGGCTGCAACTACGCGCTACTTCGAGTTAGTAAACCGACTTACACAGTGTACTGTTAGGCAAAGGCGTAAATGGGTGCTTCAACAAGTATTCATCACTTTATAGAGTTTATAAACTTGTTCATGAAAACTATAAACATTCTGAAAGATACCTTGGTCATTATGGAGTACGTATTAGAAGCACTCCAAAAACATATCTATTAATAATGGGATTTATTTATTAAATTTACTCCTTTTCCCAACCAACTGGCTATTTGTTGAAATAAATACAAGATGAAACTACAACCACGACATACATGCGTCGAAGGCAAGCTGCATTATGCGTGAGCCAATAGGGTTTATTATATACCATTCAATTTTCATAATCTTGCATTTAATTCAGATCAATTGAAATTATTAAGTGTATAATTTGGAAGAAAGAAATTGTCAGAATAGGTGTGCACTTTTTTATTTATGTCCATTTTAAGAATAATTTCTCGAATGTGTCTTTTATAAGTTTCCCAAATTTATGAATTTGGAATCCCAAATGTCACATTGTTATCATTCTGTAAAACTGATAAGATCTTATTCTTGTCAAATAAAAAAGTACAACTCAAAAAGGTCAAAACGTTTTTTCAGATTACGTTCCCGAAGTAGCAAAGGTTAACTCGAAAAGGGATATTAGAAAGGGTAACAGGAATCAATACAATGTACATACGTAGATTTTCAAACAACATAACCCATTGTTTTATACAATGTGACAATTAAAAAAACATTCTTCGAGCTGTTAGTAGTCTCAAAACTACTTTCAAAGTGTTTGTTAGAAGGGAAATCCCATAATATAGAATTTGTAATATCTACTATAGTTCAACTTACCCGGAATCTTTGTACAAAATCTGCAATAGATATAGCTGGTATGGAGTTTCCACTCAAATCCAGTTCCACCAAGTTTGCAGCTGCTGCATTTGACAAAATGTTTGTAGGTATTCTTGAGAAATCGTTGTTGGAGAGATCCAATCTGTGCACATTAGTTATTCTTTTAAGCAGGAGCAAATCGATTTTATAAATCATGCATTGGGTGGAACACGCTCTAATAAAACAGACCCGTAGCCGCAGCAGTAACAATTCAAATTGATGTTAAAGATCTTCTTAATTTGAGGTTATAGAAAACGTATGCAACAGTCAATGTTCGAAGTTCACAAATTTTAATAAAGAAAAATAAGAAATATAATTATGTTCTGAAATATAAGAAATGTAAAAGTACTACTTAAACAACGATTGGATTACACATAATATAATACTGTAGTATGCACAGTAAATAAGTAACCAAATCTATATTGAACTGGCTGCACAAAGTAACATAATATTCTATGTTCTATGTGTACATACCTCTCTAGGGCGGGTGAAGGGATAAAATTATCAGCCAGATTTCTGATGTGATTGTCAGATAAATCGATCGATGTCAAGAACTGCATGTCATGGAATACTTCCACAGGCAACTCTATCAAATAATTATGTGACAGATCGATTATCTGAAAATGTCGAACAAAAACTTAAAAATTATACACAAATTGCGAAATTAGACCAAATTTAATTACAGTGAATGAGTAGATGAAGGCAAACAAGTTAGACAACTTTGGCTACGTTGTGGAGAGCTTTAATAATTTTGTTCTATAAAGATTATCAATAGGTACATGTATCTCTTACTACTCCATAATTTTGCGCTTGGAAGTTTAGGACACAGATGTATTTATCTAGTTTAGATCCCAGACAGATATTGTCACTTTAGGAAATATGATTTTGTTTTTATGCGAAATACGAGTAATGTAACCAAAAAATGTGGAGTTAAATCAATTTTATATTATTATTATTCTCCCGATATTTCATAGCTGCTTCACGAGAGAAGAATAAAAATTTATTTGTACAGTACTACTTCCAGTAAGTTTTGGAGCTATTCCAGTTTTATAGAAGATACCTGATGATGGTGTTGTTAGCCTGTTGTTTCAAACATATGTACATTTATTATTATCTTGCATATCAGCAACTTTACCTACCAGTTTAGATTTAAAGAAATATTTCAAGTTATATTTTACTAGATTTCAAAGAGATTATCAATATTAATTAAATGATTTTTATCGCATAAATCGAATGATTCCGCAGCTGAGCTTTGGACAATAGTACAGCAACAAAAAACTGTAGATAATTGATAATCTTTTACGAACTTGATGCAAATGTTAATATTAGTGCCAATTTGAATGAGTTCATGGTTAGAAAATATCTTGTTGGCCTTTAGATAACATACCAATTTATAATATTAGTGACATAATTGAGATGAGATGAAGTTAAATGAATTGAAAGATCCACTTAAGCTTTTCTTAAATAACGGTATAACCTTACATAACTTTTTAAACGCGCCACGCCATGTAGGTAGGGGAACTGACGAAAAAATAATTAAAAAAATAAGTAAGCATATTGAATCGAAAATACAGCTAATACTTGAGACGTGACTTCTACGGATAACGATGGGAAGTATAACTTAGCTCAGCTCACGAAGCAACTAGCCCTTTTCGTACTTAGTGACGCGTAGCACTCTCAGGGTCGTATTCCAGAACTCTATTCAATGCAGGATTCAAGTCAGGATTTTGAGCAGTCTTGAGTATGATTTCAAGCACTGGAAATACGACCCTAATGGCAAGGATTTGAGTATGATTTTCAGTGCTCACTGCAATACTCAAATCAGGACTTGATCTGACTTGACTAAGACATCGACGAAAATTGGGCTGAGAAGGGATGTGTTTCAACAAAACAAGCGGAGTGGAGATGTCAAAATAACGAAATACTGGTTACTGACTAGGTCCAAAGATGTAAAAGTAACGAAATACCGGTTGCTGACTAGGCGTGGAGATATCAAAATAACGGAATATTAGTGGTTGATGAAACACAGTTTTCTTTACGCCGCTTTAGTGGATAATGGGTTCTCTTCCATAGTGACTTCAACCTTTACCAAAGTTAAATGGAGAAGTGATGTTTTTAGCAATCAAGGATTAGCAGCTGTCATTATTGGTTATGGGCATAAAAATGCATGCGACGTGAGCTCAGCTGAAACTATATTCGTATCGTTCGCTGTAGCTGCCACGTTTGTTGCTTAAAAAGGTATCAATAGATTTACCTGCAAATTTCGAACTTTCTTGAAACAGTCATATTCCAAGTCGAAAATGTAGTTATGCGATAAATCCAAATATTGCAGCATGCTCATAGATCCGAATACCTCTCGAGTTATATTCCTTAGCTTATTGTGTGAGAGGTACAACTCTGATAGAGTTAAATCTGCGTGCCTTTGGGAGAAAAATCATGTTAATCTCTTTTGGGTATCTTTTTTCACCTTAAATAACACAACTAACGTAAGCCTATCCACGCACTCGTCGCTTACTTAACAATTTACTTAAATTTTTAGCAATAAGTCGAAGTTTTATAGCTTACCTAAAGTAGTATGGCGCAATATAGGTAATATTATTGTGTGAAAAATCCAGTACTCTGATATTGACCGACACTGTACCAAGACCTGCAAAAAAATAATTGAAACTGAATGAATTCCACTAAAATTACTGAGAAATAAAATTAAAAAAGTTTAAGACAAGCGACATCTACAATAAATAGACAAAATAACAATCACCTGGTTCAATTTCAACACTAATGTCGGCTGAAATCAAGCCTGTGCATGAAGTGGAACAAAAAGAAAAGATGAAGTAAATAAATTAATTAAATAAAAAGACTAGATGACTTACTGATAACTTCAAGCTATGAAATACAATAAATGTAAATTACTAATATAGTATGACAATTAAAGAAACAAAAACGAAAAATTCGTGCGCCTGGTATTAAGTGACACGCCAGTCCATAGCAGTCGCAGTGCTACTCAGTTTTTTAAATCGCAAATATCTGAGGGTCACTGCCACTGGGTCTATCACCCTGAGACATATTAAGTTGACAAGTTCCAAGTGCCTGTAATTTTACCAATAACCCCACCCTTCAAAACCGGACCGCAGTAATGCTCACATTACTGCTGAGCATGTTATTATATATGTCTGTAACATATTTGCGTCCCTTATGTTTGGTCGGGCACAAGAAAACAATATTTATTCCATTACTGTCATCTTCTTACTTGTGTGAGTTATGAATTGTGAGAAAAGTGAAATAAATATATTGATAATCTCAGTACAGAGTACTAAAAAAACTGAAGACAAAAGTACGTGGAATTACATATAATACCAAGTTTTATTGAAATCAGTTACCGGAAAGTGCGCAAACCCGGATTCATCCTCTAGTTCGACGATACGGGACTTGACACGGGAGATAATAGAAATCGGTTCTCACTACTCAAAGTATAGAGACAAAAACGCCTTGAATTGGAGAATAGCAAAATCAACCATTAAATAATTAATATATAATTGCTCCTTATAATAAAATTTAGGCGAAAAAAGAATCTTCATGCGTGAAAAGCAGCCACCCTTAGAGGTGGATGATTTTCTTCAAATGTGACCACTATGGAGGTACCCTCTTTCCAACAAAAAAAGAATCATGAAAATCGGTTCACAAATGCGAGTTATCGCGTAACACACATACAAAAAAAATATACAGTCGAATTGAGAACCTCCTCCTTCTTTTCAAAGTCGGTTAAAAACAGTACTAAAGTCAGGAGAAATAAACTAAGATGACAAAATAAAGTAAATATTATGATAAACAGGTTAAAATAAAATTAGTAAATTAACGAAAGACAGATTTGCAGCAAACAGTGAGAAGAAGAGAATTTATGATAAAACCGCATAATGTAAAATATAAGTCATGGGCTATGAATGTGGGTCACTTCTGAATTTATTCAAACAATTCGAAAGAAAGTGACACGATAGGGTAGCTTCAAATGTTTTTTGTGTTTCTCGAGAATTTGTATAAAAGTAAAATGTTTATTTTTTATATTGGAAATGGACCTATTTTTTCGGATATAAATGGCGCGTATCTGTTTTTTTAAAAAGTTTGTTTGAAAAACAAATAATTGCGCGATTTTGATCCGAAAATATAGTTATATATGTTATATACAATGTGAAATAATCGCGAAAACCTTAAGAACTCAATATTTTTTTATATTTATGTCAACTGTTGAATGGTGAAAGGGATCAAGAAAGTCCGCTATTAGACAGGCACAGTTCAACTTTCACACAAATTTACTTGGGAAGGACCTTCTAATACGACCCACGAATTTTATTACTTAAAACTCACTTTCAACCATCGACATCAGGGCTTGTCGATTCTTTCAACCTTAGTGTCCTTCGCAGGTTTAACCTTTCAATTGTCATTATGTTATTACGAGTATGATAAAATAATTATTTTATCTATTGATATCTCGTATATTAACTTTAGAACTTGAGCTCGTTGTAATAATTGTTCTTGGAGAGCTACGGTACCTATTCTTTTCGTCTTGTATATTTTTTGAGGAATAACTAACTCTTGTAGTTTGTGTTGTGGATGATGAAATTTTCAGAATCCTAGTGTTTTACCTAGTCGATTTATGTTAAAGTTCGTATTTAAGCTTTTATTGTACTTTAGGTCAATGACCTTACTTGTACACTTTAAGTTATTGTCTAATAAATAAATGTAAAATATAACCTCCAAAACTTCATTTGAAGTATGTAAGTGACACAAATACATTTTCCACGAGTGATACAAAGTGTGAAACAAAAAGATTACAAAACTAATCGAAACTTACTTTGAGCTTTTGGAGGCGGATAGAAGTTAGCAGTGAAAATGCTAGGTGCATTGGAGTCAGTTAGTGCGATGATGCCATTGTAGGACACGTTGACCTTCAACGCTGTAGCGGATCCAACTTGATCGAAGATCGAGAATTTGAATGTGTAGAGTCGGTTAAATGAGATGTCCAACCTAAAAAATAGAACAAGTGAATGTTTTATGAACCTTTTCTTTGCAGTCATATTGAACTAAGAAAGGAAAGAGCGGAACAGTGACATTCACAACTTTAGCGATAAACGGTCTCTCAATTCCTCTCACGGCCGACGACCACCAACAGCCACGCACCGGTCGCGCCCATTTTTCGCCATACATCAACCCATGCTCCAGCATGGACGCCTCTGTATTACCATGGTTGGCGCTTCTTCATTTGGTGCATGAGTGCGGACTTTTAGACTCCACTTGTCAGCATTCTTTTGCAGTATCTCCACGACTAATGTGTGGTTTATATTGAGTATCGCAGTAGACATAGATGTAGAGTAGCAGTAGAGCTCCCTGTGAAAGAGTTGGTCCAGGGAAGTACTGCCACCTTGCCTATTTCTGCCGCCAAGCAGTAATGTGAGCATTACTGCGTTCCGGTTTAGAAGGGTAAGGGTGCTGGTGAAATTACAGGCACATGGGATTTGTCAACTTATGTCTCAGGGTGACGGGCGCAGTGGTAGTGCCCTAAGATCTTTGCGATTTAAAACTCTGAGTAGCACTGCACATGTTAGGCGTGTCGCTTACCACCAGGCGCACGACTTGTTTGTTTCGTCATTTGGTATCATAAAAAAAAGTTTGATGCTGTAAAGTGGCCGCAGTGCTCAAGCTTGCTAAAAAGTAAGGTTCAAATTAATAAATTAATCTATAGGTACTTACTCTTTCAAAGCAGGTAAATTCTGGAAAGCCTCTTCGCTAATCTCGTTGATCCTGTTCCCTCTAAGCCTTATAACCTTCAAATTGTCCAAACTAGTGAATGCTCTTCTCTGAATGAAGTCTATTAGGTTATCTTCTATTAAAATCACTTGCAGTTCTCGCAAATCGACAAATGTGTGTTGGACAATTTGCCGCATTTGGTTTAGGTTGAGAGAAATACTTTCTAGTTGTCTGTGAATGTCGCCCTAAAAATAATAATTGTATTGTTACGAAGTGTATTTAAGCTAGCTCTTATAGTAAGTCCTGTTTCTTTTTATTTATTTATTATAGGAAAGTTAATAAGTTACAGTAAAGTAAGTAATAACTTGACGTTCACCTCAAGTAGCAACTTGCGAGTTGTTTGAAATAACATTTCCTGTTGCTCACTAGCATTTTTTTTTTTCAACAGTAACAGTATTTGCTAGAAAACTGATTTAGGCGCTTTCATCCGTACTGGTAAAATGTGGTCATGGCGAACTAGCATGTTAAATTTAAGCATTAGGTGCACTAGCAATGTATTACCAACCTGTAAAGTTCCTTTAGAGAAATGATCAATTTCATTATCTTGCAGATTTAACGTCTTCAACTTATACATGAAGTGGAAAGAAGTGTCAGGTACATTCTTCAATTTATTGTTGCTCAAGTCCAAGTATTGAAGTTCAATTAACGCTTTGAGAGGCTCGAAAGGTAGTATCCTTACAGTGTCTGCTAGACCGTTGGCCATATTTAAGGTTGTAAGACTATGTAGCTGAAAAAATCATTTAAAGTGTATTACCTAACTATAGTTTTCGATATCTTTTTGCGAATAAGGTACTATTTTAACGATAAAAATGTCTGTTTGTTTAACTACTGACTTTAATATGTTGGGTTTCTTTTGTACTCACCTCAGCAAAAGCATACGGATCAATAAAGTCAATGCTGTTTTCTGACAAATCCAATGTCTTAATAGTTCGTACATTCTGGAAGGCACTTGTTTCGATTCTGGTGATCGTACTGCCGAAGATCTTCAAGTCTTCCAGCTCCAAACCGAAATCCAGGAAGTCGTCTGAATTAATGCTGCGTTTGATCAATTTGCTGATTGCCAGAGAACGAAGCGAACGCATTCTGTGAAGATTATATAGGGAAGTTTTAATTGGTAAAGCAATATTTTTGTAAAATAATTAGTGTTTTAGTGATTTAATTTGATGTAGTAAATAAATCGTCGTCAACCCATTAGATGTCCCAACGCTGTGCATTGGTCTCATCAAAGGAGAGGGTTTAGACAGTTTTTGTTTTTCTTGGTTTTGCAACTTCGCACGTTTTCCAAGAGTTGTAAACCTTCTTTCACTAGTTTCACGTAACGATGTTTTCCTTTACCGTCTGTGAGAGGTATTGGCTATCCAAATATTAAAATTGAGTGTCTTTGAATGAGTTCAAATTTGAAATAAAATAACAAAAGTACATTTCAAAGGTTCACTTTGTGCTGTAATATACCCCTCATGTTTTTCACCTGTCAAAATTGATTCTGTAACTATATTCATGGTGATCATAATGCTTACTTTCTAACATCCTGAAGACTCATCTCAATGGAAGAAGCGCCACTCAAATCTAGAGAGAATAGTTTGTACTGGAAGTTAGTGAGATGCTGTGATGTCGAGAGGTATTCCGATGGTGTAGTTGATACTAGATGACTGATGTCGATCTGGAAATCAGAAAGGACGAACTACATCACTGAGGGTTCGTAAAAGAAGAAGCAAAATATCTTGATAACAATTTTTGAATATACGTACGTATGATCACATGGGCCTTTATTAAACATAGGTACGAAATAAATAAATAAATAAATAAATAAATAACGCACACATTCAACATAGCCCCGCACTAGGGAAACCCTGTGTCGCGGGTGCCATGGACACACACATAGACAACCACAAATTACACCCAAACTCACGAGAGAAATAAATGTAAGCCATACAAACATTTCTCCCGGCCCGGGAATCGAACCTGGGACCTCTGCGTGGCAGTCCGGCATGGTAACCGTTCGGCCACGGAGGCAGTTAATAGAGATCTCCCAATTAGTAAATACTCAATGGAAATTTTAATCACGTGTCATAGATCAAAATACAGTTGGTATAACCACAGACGGTTACATAATTGTACAGTCATCGCTCTCATTAATACCTACCGTCCGGGCATGACTTGCTGCCAGAGTAAAGTGATTTGTAATGTTATATCGGACGAGTTTTTGTCCCGTTTAGAATTTTCCGACCGAGGTTTTACACGGCGAAAACTGCACCACCCCTTCGAATGCGGAGCATTTTGACTAATATATCAGCATAGAACGTTAAAGTTATTAAATTAAAATGAAATAAAACCCCGATACAGTGTATGTAACTCCAAAAGTCAATCAAGTTATCTGTGAGCCAATAATTCGTCGAAACGAATTTGCCCAAACATGTTAATTCTACAGTAAGTCGTTAAGGAATTGGGTAGTATGCACACTGTCTTGTTTGTAGCAACAGATCATTACCATATTATTGTAATGTCATTGGATTTCCAAGTTATAATAAATTTCAAGTTGATTGGACAATAGGAAGTAAAATAAGTATTCATTTCCAGACTGAGATTATTATACTAATTGAGGGAAAAATTGATTAATAGCTGAACAAATGTGCTACGAAACAACTCGATTAATGTCCTTCAAATAAAAAAAATCCCCTTTAAATCAGTCCATCCGTTTGGGAGCTACGATGCCACAGACAGACGTATAGATAGACAGACAAAGGCTTCAAACTTATAACCGATTTTTTTTTTGCATTGGGGGTTACAAACTAAGATCGGCAGTTCTGCGTTGTGTCGTAATCTTGAATAAAAAGTTGATCGCCAGAATAATAATCTTTTCGTAATTTGCAGCTAACAGGCGAGTGTTCATAACTGGAGGAACTACGAACCCCTTTCTCACTTCAGAGATAATTCTGATTACTCGGCCATAGAAGGTCAGTGCGTAATGGCAGGCGAACTAAAAAAGAGGTTTTTATAAGCCACTTACCCTATTCTCCTTAAGATTTAAAAACCGCAACAGATCCAACTTATTTAACATGAATTTGGAAACAATAGTCAAATTATTCTCAGAAAGGTCGAGGCTCTGTAGACTGTTTTCCAATCCTGCGAAAGCAGCTGGTGACAGGTCTGTCAGGCTGCAGTCTCGGAGAGAAAGAGTTTTTATCTTTGCGTTGCGGAATGCGTCTTCCTGGAATATGAAGAACAAAAGGCGTTTAAAAGTGGACTATGTTTATACAAGATTAGCTGTTATGTCTTTTGACTATAATAAAATAAGTGTTAGTAAAGTCTACAAATTTTTTTGTATCACTGAATGATTATGCGACTTTGAAAACAAAACGTGTCGACTGTTTTATTCAACGACATTAATCTACCGGTTATTTCTAAGTGGTATTACACAGAAGATTGGCCACATAAGCCACATGCGAGATCACGAATGCCGCTAAGAAATATTCAGCAGCGCCTTTCCCGAAATCGGCTGGGAGCACATAATATAGTGGTGGTTTACAGAAAATCTAGTAAAGAGTTACTTACTCTAATGTAGAACATTGGGTTTCCATCCATTGACGTATAATTCAAAACATTGAAGTACTTGAAGGATCCGGGGAACAGCGCTCTGATGTTATTGTTGTCTAATCTGAAAAACAAATATTCACAAGACATGAGATAACGTACTGTGGTAGTTATTTAATAGTGGGAGAATTTATTGAAACACTAACCTAAAATAATTTAGAATTAAAACGAATTTTCGTTAAAAGTCCTATGCGGTAATTTTGTGCCATTACGGTGTTGTTAGTTACTTGAACATTATTTAAAGACACACAATACTTACTTCAAGGAATCCAAAGATAGCTTAATACCATTAGGAAGCTCGTGAACAGGTGGAACTTGTTTGATGATGTTATTCGCCAGATCTAGAACTCGCAATTGACGAAGTGGAGACAGTTCCTCGTAAGGTATATACGCCAACTGATTGTCACTCAGCAGCAGCTAAAATTGATGAAAAATTGAGATAAATTAGTATGACATTAGTACAGGAACATTTCTCGAAAATGTAGCAAGATTGAGTGGTGAGGACGCTACACCGACAAGAGCCTGGCTCTTAAATAGGATGATGGTGATTATAGGAATGAAAATCAGGATAATAAAATTATTGTTATATATAATTTTAGGACAGAAATTTCTGTATCTATATAAGGTACCTACATGGTCACATCGTTCTAAGAAAGTGATCTAAACGATAATCGCCAATACTGCGGAACTTGTCATAATTGCAAAACAATACTATAGTAAATGGGAAGACAATAATTCTCGTCTACTAGTTAATCCCTTCGTCACTTTTTGCAATAGGTCTTGACACTGTTCTTATCATGAGCGGTATAGAGTTGAATTTAAATTAAACTTTTGTCAAGTTGACGTGCCCTATCAAGACCTGTAAGTACATAAAGGTAAGAAATAAGTTGATTCTAGTCATGCAGAAAACATTGTTTGAATAATAAATTAATATGTCCGATTATCTGGAACAAAGTGGAAACCTTTTTGCAGACTGTTTAAAATGGCCTATTGTCCTCTTTATACGCCCGACTGATATGTTTGTTGATCATTCAAGCGTATTTCCCATCACATGTTGTTATATAATGTTTATTTTGTTCAGACCGTTATTAAAATGAACGGAAAAAAGTATAAAATAATTACTTTTTGCACACTAAATCATCTCTTTTCACCAAAAAAAGACGATTGAATACGTATTAATTCTAAAATTATAATTTTTATTGTTCATAACATACGACGATATTTCGTTTTAGAATACAATCTTGAGCTTCGTTTTCACCGTGAATTTTAAAGGTATTAAAATAACAGAATAATTCTAACCCAATCCAATATTTAATTACCTTATTAAGCCTGCTCATGCCATCTCTAAAAACCCCACTATCGATGATCGCCAGATGGTTTCCACGAAGGTCCAATGTTTCCAACAACGGTAGACCAGTAAACGCATCTAGTGGAAGATTGGCTACAGAGTTTTCAGCTAGGATCAGGGTCTGGAGAGTATTCTCTAGTCCTCGCCAGTTGTCGCCACTCATATCTGTTATTTCGTTGCCTGTAAAAGAAAAGGATGCAAATCAGCTTCGAAAAAACATTTAATAAGGAATATACTGTAAGGAATCCTCCATTTTAGTGAAAGTTTAGACAATCTTCTATTATGCTTTAACCCGCGAACATCAAAGTCAAAGAATCGTTTATTCCATAAGTAAAATAAATTTACACTTGAAAACGTCACATTTAAGCTACTGTTCGTTCACTACGTTGACTTCCCTGAGAATTACGAGCAAGAAACTCTAGGAATTGCTCTTTTCAAATAAACTTAAATGCTAGGGTATTAATACACTTTGAATCAAATGTGTGTAGATTCTGGAGCCATGTCGTCTTCCCATACATCTTTGTCTAGCACGTAGTCTTCAATTTTGTAATATGATTTTTCGATCAAAATATTTTTAATGTAGTTTTTAAACTTAGGAAATTATAATCTTAATATATGCTTCGGAATCTTATTGTAAAAACGTTTACAGTTCCCCCATTAGGGTCGTTTACCTCGGTTAAACAAAATCGTAGTACCATGAGTTTGGACTTAGCTCTAAGGTTAATATTATGGATATCTTCTTTCGTGTTGAAATTATGTATAATTTTACGGGCATATAAAATATTTGAATAAGTGCACTGTGAAATCACAGTCATGATAGCAGTCTCCTTAAACTTTTCTCTCAGAGAAACTCGAGAGCCTAGAGGGTACACAGAACGAATCGCTCGTTTTTGCAATACAAATATGGTTTAAATATCGGCCGCTTTACCCCACATGAGATTCCCGTAGGACAATATACTATAGAAAACACTAAAGTAAACTAGTCTAGCAGTACTAACATCCGTGAGCTGAAGTATTCTGCGGACTGCGTGTGCAGCGGAGCTTAATTTGCTGGCCAGTGAAGATATATGTGGAAACCATTAAGTTTACTATATAAGGTAACTTCCAAGAACACTGCTATATTAACAAGGTCTAACTTTTCCCTGTTTATTTCTATGCTTGGAGTAGTCGATTTTACATTAGGTAATTCAAATTTAACACATGTTGTTTTCTTGGCATTAAGCAATAAATTGTTAGTGTTAAACCAATAAACTACCTTAGAGAGGGTATCATAAATATGGTCATAATTAATGTCATATTTGTCTGTTTTAAAAATCAAGGATTTGTCGTCAGCAAACAATACTATGAAGAAAAAACACAATGAAAGCCTGCTCTACTTAGTGCCTTAAGCACCGATTACTCAGAACAGAATCAGAACCGCTGTCGCCAAAACTCACTTTTTTCCCACATTTCGAGGTTTAATGTGACATAATTGATACGACCATTGTATACAAAGCGAAAATGGCGAACTGAGCTCAAGAATGTGAACTACGCGTACTGTTGGGACACGTGCCCTACCCTCTAAGCACTTTACTGGTATTTATTGCTCTGTACTTTAACATTTTCCCTATATACTTGGTACGATACAGCTACATGTCATCATACGTCAAAAGCGCTTTCACCTCATGAAGGTTCATAAAATAATATGGACTACAAGAAACATATTATATGTATGTGAAATTTTATAACTCTTCTATTTAAGCATAAAAAGTTATCGACTAATTTCGTTCATAGAATCTTTAAACGTTTCTCCTGAAAAGACTCACTTTGCAGTTATTACCTTATAAAATTATTATTACTAAATCAAGAGTATGAAATATTTCGGTATGATAAGCAGTACTTCCCATTATATCCAATAGTTCAGTTTAATAATTTAATGAGTTAATACATTAATCTTATTTAAAAGTATCACCTTATTATTCCTTTCAAGATTATCGATTCATGTTAATGGTTTCGGTTTCTGTCTGACTATTACAATCCAAGCCATTAGAATGATAAATTAATTCCAGTGATTCATAGCGAACTCCCCTAAATAACTCATCAACTTATCCTATTGTGGATCGTGCAAGCGAATGTGCAATAAGTGACGTTAATTTAAACCAATTATGTGCATTAACAATTTGAGTTTCACGCCTCGTTTAATTGCTTTTAAAATTGATATTCCCTGTTGACATTTGTGCTCAAATTACTTTAATTAGTGTTTAAAGGAAATTATTAACAGCTTTCGTTAGTAAAAGATAATGTGATTTTTTTATGATACGAAGTGACGGGACGAACAAGTCGTGCGCAGTTGCAGTGCCACTCAGAGCTTTAAATTGCAAAGATCTGAGGAGTAATGCCAGTACGCCCGTCACCCTGAAACATAAGTTGACAAGTCCTATGCGCCTATAATTTCACCAGCACCCTTACTCTACAAAATCAAATGCAGTAATGCTCACATTACCGCTTGGCGGCGGTAATCTATCACAAACTCGAATTTTTTTTCCGAAATTCATTAGTCCGAAAACGGTTCGACTTTTTTCATTAGTGCGATGACAGTTTTGGTATAAATTTGCAACACAGAAATATCTTACATCCGAATACCTAATGTTAGAATGAATTCTTTGAGCAGAAGTTTGTTTGGTCCAATCATGTTCGTTATACTGTCTGTTTTCCATATAATTTAGATTGATGACAATTCGTTTCGACAAAACTACTATTCTTAGATAAAATTGTACCACCTTACAATTTTACCATACAGCTCCAAAATTCTGGACTGTACTTTGCTGGTGCACAGCAAGTCCACTTACGTAATTTTCGTCATACTATTGTGCTATGTTTTTGCTGTCATCTGAAATGTAATTTAAAAACAATGGTCTTGAATATTCAATAAAAGCGGCCGGCGAGTGCCAGAGCCGAATTAGTTTGCGTTACCTAGACGGTACGACCACCTCCTGTAGGTTTGGATTAGCTTAGTATATGAAAAAGCCGTACGAGCCAATCGAGCGAAGCGAGTGACTTAAACTCAATTAACTTAACTTGCATCCCGTTTACCATATTTTCTAAAGATGCAAGATGCTTTAATTTGACGAGTTGTATTGTGCGATACGTTCTAATACTTTTAGAACCTGAGACCTATAAGAAATAATATAACAAAAATGTATCATGGATATCGTTTTTTTACAAAATAAAAATATTCAATTAGATACATTGGTCAAACGATTTGTTGGGAAAATAAAAATCGAGAAAAAAACAATAAATTGTCAATATGTCAAAATAGTGAAACATTAAATTGCGCAATGAAAGAAATCGTAACATGTTTTTGGACAAATGAAACAAAATCTATTCAATAAAAGTTTAAAAGTTTTCGGAGAAATAAAATTCTGTAAATCATGTTTGTAGCTTGTGATAGGTACACTTGGCGGTAGAAATAGGTAAGGTGGCAGTACTTCCCTGAACGAACTTATTCACACGGAACTGCTAACGACTTACTAGCATAGTAATTATTCTAAGTTTGGACATTTAAATGTTGGTTTAGCGGAAACTTATACGTAAAACTTTTGTGAAATTAAAATAGTTGTTTCACGCTTTTTGTTTATTTCATCGTTACCAGCTGTTAATATATTTTTTACAATGTTCCATTGAGGATTTTAAATCTTTACATTTCTATATTTTTCAGAGACAGATTTTAATGACTATAGAGTGGAATAAAGATAAAAGTATTTTTTATGATCACAGTCTTTATGCAAAAATGTATCGATAAACTGTTTACACTATGCCTCAATAGGCATAGTATAATAATACGACAAGTGGTGTAACTTCATACAATGCGCCCGGCGCGCACCGTGTACAGAGTACAGACGCACGAAGTTGCATAATATTGCGTATCACTTGCGTTGCACAGTCGCACGAACCATTCACTATAGAGGTCAAATGCGCACTTATTTACTTCTAAAAAAAGCGAAACGTGCGCTCGGTGTTTAAAACATGACATCCAATAGCAGACGTGTTTATATTTGTGTTTATAGTTGTTTGAACAAGAGTGCCTCAAATTCAGAATTGTTCAGCATTTTATTTCTATTGCATAACCATACCAGATTAGATAAATCAAGATACCAGTCAGCGATCCTGGTATATAATATCAATATAATTTGGTAAAGGTTTTTTGTCAATTCTGATAAATACTTTCATTATTTATGATTACTACCTGTACGAACAAATAAAATAATAATGTAACCTCCAAGCGTATGCAGGCATTGTCCCGCCGAGCAGGTTGGACAACTATTATACTATGGTTGAGGCATTGAACAAATAGATTAAGTAAAACTAGCGACCACCCAGTTTGTGTGCTAGTAAGAACTCTTGCATTGTGATTGAAAAGGAACCCAAATATTGCTTTTAAATTTAACATTGGAATTAGTGAACATACCTGTCAAATCCAATAGCCTTAGCTTCTGCAGATACCTCAATGATCTGCTGGGTACAGCCGTCAGCTTGTCGTATTTGAGTTCTAACTCCCATAGCGTGTTGTCCAATCCGTAGAACGCCTCTTCGTGAATAGTCTCCAGAGGATTATGGTTGATAGCAAGTCTGTACAATCCTGTAATTACAAATTTGCATATTATATCATAAAGTTCTATTGCAAAATGTTGATGGTTACTTGGAAGACTACTTTGTAGCACAGTTCCTGCCTTGATTAAGCGCACAAGTTTCAGGACATTGATTAAAAGGAAAATATGATCACAAGGTCATCTAATTTCAATTTCAAAGGTTTCATTTACTGATCATCATCATCATTAACCCATTTCCATATGTTACTGTGGGAGATTAGGCCAAAATCTGCCTAATGCGGTTTTGGGGAGTTCACATGTTTCCCGACGTTTATGAACTGAAATGGTTCTTCCTTCACCGAAAAGCTCATAGTAAACTTCTAATTAATTAATTTCGCACACTAATTCTGAGAAACTCATAGGTGCGATCCCGAATTCGAACCCACGGCCTCTGCTTGAGAGACGGTAGGTCAAACAGTAGGTAAAAGGTAGGTTTTCTGCCTACCTACCTAACCTTACCTACCTTTTTTTTGAAGGGGGGAAATCTAAACTAATCTAACCCTACCTACCTACTAAACCTATCTTTTAATGTGTATGTAGTATATAAAATGTAGTATCAATTTGTTGCTCTGTATCTGTAAATGATTACAGATACAGATCAACAAATAGATACTACATTTACGGCAAAATAGTAGAAAATTAACAATCGAGTTCAACACATAGTTTTTAAATTCCCATAATTGCATAATTGTTGCTGTCTGTCGGTCGTGCTCACAATGTCAATGAGACTCGTGTATCACGATCAAACCTGATTGTTTGATTGCGTAGAACTAGTCTGTTAGTACTTGCACAAATGGCAACTCCTACACTAGTGGAATAGTGGTTGATGTATTTATTAGCATTTTACGGTATCTAAAAACAATTCCTATAACTAATCTATACATAATGTGTGATTTTGTCATATTTAGTATAACTAATTAAATTATAAGTAAAAAAAAAACTTTGGTGCAAAACAGTGTACTTCAATAATTTCAGTACAGAGTACTAAAAAAATCTACCTCAACACTTCGTGGAATTACATCTATTTGTCAAGCTTTATAGAAATCGGTTATCGGAAAGCGGGCGAAAGCGGATTTATCCCATAGCTTGCCACCCTAAGAGATCGAATATTTTCTTCAAGTTTTTAAATGAGACCAATACTGAGTGAGGTACCTTTTTTCTAACAAAAAAAAAATCAGCAAAATCAGTTCACAAATGTCTGCGAGTTATTGCGTAACATACACACAAAAAAATACAGTCCAATTGTACAACCTCCTCCTTTTTTAAAGTCAGTTAAAAAGTCACCATCAGTAAGGTTGTCGAGATAAACTAAATGAGCCCAAACACGATTGTTTTGATGCGAGTAATAACAAGTTGGAAAGTCTGCAGACTATCTAGGTTACAAGATCAGATCAAGATTAAAATATTAATGTACTGTCATCGGATTTCCACAGTTTCAATTCCATTCCAAATTCCAAGGATGTCAGACAAGTGGAAGTGAAATCTAAATTCATCCCTACGCTAACTAGGAATAGAGCTGATGATCTTTAAACAGGTGAACAGACGTTTATCAAACGTAATTAAAAACATTCCTTATAAAGTAGCCTTCAAACAGAAAGCCGTTTGCGAGCTACGATGCCACAGATATTTTGAGACGCAAACACAGGCTTCAGAGACGCAAACACAGGCTTCAAACTAATAACTCCCCTTTTTGCGCCGGAGTTGAAAAGGGATATGGATGTATAATTTGTACAATTTACATAACTAATGATTTAATCGTTTTTCGCAAATATTTATTTAGTGTATTAAACAAGCAAGTTAAAATACAATATAAGCTAAAACTAAAGCTAGAACTAAATTCAATACATGGAATTGGGTTCCTATGGCAGAGTGCCCAAGATGCTGACAGCGTTCACTATAGCGAGGGTAACTGCCCTTGGGTCTCCCAGATGGCTCTTAATTATCTGGAGATGAAATGAAACTATTTTTCCCGTTTGAAACTATTTGGTGAAACTATTTGGTAACGGTTACCACCTCAGTCAACCGTGACCATGGGACCTATAAACGGCCCGAAACGTCGGTTTGGTTGAAAAAACAAATATATGTGATTTAAATCGGGAAAAATAGTTTCATTTCCTATGTGTAACAATCGGGAAAACCTAAGAACTCGATATATCTGGAGATGATTTTGTTAAAATAGCGGGCTGTGTGACGCCTAGAGCCAAATATAATTATACTTTACAGACTTTGATAGATGGGCTTATACAATTTCAGTATCTTATTCCCAATTTTAACGGTATTCAGTACACCTTCATAAATTATTAAGTTTAAAATGGAGGTAGTTGTAATTGAATATAAGTTTTCACTGCCTTTAAGCTCCCAGTGATAATTGTTATTACCTATTCCAAACAAAGAATGGACTTAATTACACAAAGGTTGAAGCATTGCTATGCTCTTGGGCACTATAGCTCAAAACCAATACTTTTGTCTTCTATATTATTTGGAGCACTATTCCGTGTATTTAATATTAATATTAACTGTATTTAATATAACATACCTGTCGCCTGGAAAAACTGAGGTTCCAAATCCCTAATCTTGTTCCCAGTCAGTTGCAACGTGAAGACCTTCGAATTGTTGACAGCGGCTGGAACCCTAAGGATGGGGACATTGGCGCAGGTGACGATGCCCAGGTCTCCTGCTGGTTTTGAACACGTGCAGAGGGCTTGAAAAAGACATGGTGGATGACCAGTGTCTACGTGGAGCTGTGGTGAGATAATATTGTTTGTTACAACTCAGAAAGCTAATTTTAATATACTTAGAACTTATTACGATTCAGTTTAGGGTCTAAAATGAGATTGTGAGATAGCGCTATATGAAGTGTATATCACTATCCCGCCTTTTTATCGCTACGAACCTATATTGAACTGTAATAAGAGTTCATGGTAAGGCTCAAGTACTCATGACCATGGATAATAATGATCGAGTGAAGTAAGTGAGTGCAGTAAATGAGTACATGTGTGATATATATTGATATAGGAAACAGTAATTGGCTAAATTTCATATAAACATATAAAGAAATCAGGAACAAATAATTATTAATATAAAGATCGAGCACTTAAAAATAATTCTTTCGATCAGGCCGGATTCGAACCGACGTCTTCTAGCATACCGTGCAAGACGCTATACCAACTAAGTCACGGAACGAACCAGCGGACTTCAGGATTTTCTCTATGTGCTTGTTGTTGACTTTTTAGCCGTAGCGCTATCTACGAGAAATCTACGAAAGACGCTTTGCGACTTCAGTAGCCAAATTGTTTGTACTGTATGCTCTGGATGAGAAAGTTTTGGGTTCGATTGCCGGTAGGGTTAATTTGGGAAATGAACTGTGCAGTAGGTATGGTCGTCTGGCACATTATTATAGCTAACATCATCAAAATCAAGTTATTTTTCCTTTATTTTGATAAAAGTTCATAACGTATCCATTTTATAAATTTTATAGAACATTGAAACATTGAAATCTTAATCTAATGATATTAATGAAACATGAACTTGTGGATTTAGGAACGTACCAATAAACTATGTATATGTCCATATGAATAATACATTTCCGGACACATAATTTGAATCAAATTGTATGTTTATTCTTAAAGGGCTAGAATACAAAAACATTGTTATCATTAAATGAAAAAAGAAAATTCGGTTTTACAAATTCCAGTTTCAAACAAAGACTTATGGAAATGACGTTTAGTACATAGTTTCAAAATTGCACAATAGATCCAAAAAAATCGGCGATTGTTGCCTCAACGTGGCTATCGCTGTGTCTACTGAGCTACGGATCGAGCCAGCAGATCGTACGATTTTTTTTAATATACAATTTTTTCTTTATCCCTATCTACCGACTACGAGATAGGAAATAGTTCCTGGGAGACTACTGGCTCCCCGATAAGGCCAAGGTATGGCGAGCGTCTGAGCCAAGCCCTCCGCCAGTGATACGCCTTCACAGGCGTCTCTGGTGGACGCAAACTTGGGCATGCACTCGCTCGGTTTATGGTTAGCAGTAGGGATAAACACGTTCACCTGCCCCGGTGGTATGTGGTCGGGGCGTTTATCCCGCGTAGCGGTCTAGACGACGGCCTAATGCGAGAAGATGTGCGGGTTACATGAGTTGCCTTTTTAGTCGGAAGCCATGTTTCGGATATTGTCGCAGGACACTGCGACTGGCATCTCCGGCGCTAGCCCGGAGAGCTAGATACGTTCCGGACCCCTCTGATGTGAAATGCATGCCTTCTTCGTTCTTACGTTAACGAACATAAAACTTTTTCTGACTGGCTTAATGCGATTCCGCGTCAATAACTGTGGTTTATCCCTGATCAAACATTGTTTATGCATTGGACGTATTTCAATACTGAAAACAAAAGGTAATTCGGATTATGTGCTCGGGTGTGTATGATAATGTGGTTTCGTACTCACTTCTAAAGCTCTTGATAGAGACGCCCATATCATCAGTAGCAACGTGACCACGACTAGCGCGTACCCGAACTTTATGATCGCCATCAAACTCTGTAACAATGAAGAAATTGTTTTAAAATAGGTTAATACGTTGATTGGTATGGTGTAACAGGTTCGTGTTCGTGCCTATTTCGCGTGTAGGTTTGAAATTTATGTATACGAAGTCATAATATTAAATGCATATACATCGCACGCCGAAAACAATACCGGAACTAAACTAAACTCTCACTTTTTCAAATTTAAACTTATAAATATTTCAATAAGAAAGCGACAAATTGGAGTACAGAGTAAACAGAAGCGTGTTTGTAAATAATTTGATAGTTAAATGAAGGACAAACGCTTTTATCTCCCCTTGCTGTGCGAATAAATATTCCATAGAGGCTTCCATTTAGATCTGTCACACTGAGCGTACAAATAAAATGTAATATTATATGTGAGATAATCGAAAAGTAGTTTCCGGGATTCGGGACACAGAATAAGGGCAAACGTCAATTTACTTTGATAATAGTAACGTCTGTACACTATTTTTTTTCCCTTAATTGCCTGCCTGAAGTACAGAAATCGGAAGATATGATAAGATATTTCGAATTGTACAAGATTTGTTGTTTTAGTCTGATAATTAAATTGACATTTAAGTTAGACGTATACCCGGTTCCACTGCTAGGCAGAGGATTCCTTTTTCTACTTCCGTCTTTCCCTATTATTACCTTTTTGTTTCTTATAAAACAAATCCAATTCATAAACTTTGTACTTAGAACGTTTTTATCACAAGTGATAAAAACAGTTAAAGAGAGGGGACATCACACGTAGTGATCTTCTTCGACATGCCGGTTTCATTACTATGTTTTCCTTCACCGAACGAAGCTCATGGTAAATTTTTTTAATTATAATAATAACAATAATAATAATAATAATAATGGGATGTTGGAGAACGATCCTGAGTCTGGACGGTCGGCGAATGACGGATGCGGATGACCGAATAGAAATAAGGCGAGGTATTTTCCAGGGCGATTGTCTGAGTCCACTGTGGTTTTGCCTGGCCCTGAACCCTCTGAGTACTCTATTGGAGAGGTCGGGCATAGGCTTTCAGTTTCGGAGAGGTGGGCCGCGAATGCCTCACCTTCTCTACATGGATGATCTCAAGCTATACGGCCCCACAGCTGACAGATTGACGGAGCTGCTGACAATCACCAACGATTTCAGCAGTTCGGTTAGGATGGAGCTTGGGATCGATAAGTGCGCGGTGGTCCATGTTGAGAGGGGACGTGTCATGCATTCTGATGGCATTAATATTGGCACCAATCACCTGCGGGTACTCTCCGAGACTGAAACATACCGGTATTTGGGCATGTCACAGACCATCGGAGTGAAGGAAGCAGACGTGAAACAGGGTGTGTGCGAGGTTTTTTATGGGCGCCTGAAAAATGTGCTAAACAGCTATTTGTCAGGCGTTAATAAGATCCGAGCTTATAACTCCTGGGTCATGCCTGTTCTGATGTACACATTTGGCGTGCTCAAATGGACTCAGACGGAATTAGACGCTCTGGATAGACGAGTCCGCACGACGATGACCTCTCACCGAATGCATCATCCGAGATCGTCAGTTATGAGATTGTATGTCCCGCGGAAGTGTGGAGGTAAAGGCCTATTAAGTGTCAAAACCATGCACAACCGCGAGATATGCAGTCTCAGAAACTACTTTTTGACGATGACGGATGACGTAATTCGTGGAGAGGTTGTCACATGTGATAAAGGGCTAACTCCCTTATCGTTGGCCAAAGAGGAATGGCGAGACCCGGTGGTGCTTAGCACTTCTGACCGCGAGTCCGTATGGAAAGAGAAGGAGCTCCATGGGAGGTTCTTCAAGGTACTCCACGAGCCTTTTATGGACCGTAAAGCCTCCCTACATTGGCTGCGTTTCGGGGACCTCTTCTTAACCGAAACTGAGTACTTGCACAGACACAACCAGGCAGCCAAAATATTACACCAAGAGCTCGCTCTCAAGTACGGACTAGTGCAACAGAGGTTGCCATATTACAAGTATTCACCGGAGCCAATACTCGAAGATGACCGCACCAAAATCTATTGGGATCGATCTATTATCACGGACAGGACTATTCTTGCGAATAAGCCTGATATTGTGATATTGGATCGATCGCAGTCGAGGGTATTTCTTGTGGACGTCACCATCCCGCATGACGAGGGTCTCGTGAAAGCTGAAACCGAGAAACGCCGGAAGTATCTCGACCTGGCGCACGAGATCACCGACATGTGGGATGTGGCCTCCACTGAAATAATCCCAATTGTTTTGTCCGCAAATGGGTTAATTCCAGTCAGCCTTTCTAACAGCTTGAGGCGGTTGGATTTCTGTGGCGTGTCGCTTCCAGCACAAATGCAGAAGGCGGTCCTGCTCGATACGGCACGTATTGTTCGCCGATTCTTGGACCTGAGTCCCTGACCCCGGCCGACTGTGCCATTGCCGGGAAATACCGCCTCTCCCATTTAAAAATTCAAAATTAATTTTTTAGGCCTTGGGAGAGGCGAGAGTTTAAAATAAATACGAAAATAATAATAACACACACACACTCAATATAGGGGCTATGGAAACTCTGTGTCGTCTCGAGATAAATAAATGTAGGCCAACATGCAAATATTTCTCTCGACCCGGGAATCGACCCTGGGACCTCTGCGTGGCAGTCCAGCATGGTAACTGTTCGGCCACAGAGACAGTTTAAATTAAATTTCGTACATGAATTTCGAAAAACTCAGAGGTGCGAGACCGGATTCAAAACGACGGCCTCTGCTTGAGAGGCGTTAGGTCAAACCATTAACCAGCTACCATGACTATAAAAGTTTATTTTGCGGATCGCATCCTTGGTGAAAAAGGTCACATCTGCAAAATGACAACTTTTCAGGAGAGCAGTTTAAAGATTCTACGAACGAAATAGTCAAGAATTCAAATTAGTCAGTTTAAGCTAAAATAGGAGAGTTTCACGCAATTATACGTAATTTGTTTTAAGCTCGTGGTTCGTATTATTTTTATGAATTTCAAGTGATAGAAGAACTTTTGATGAATGATGACATGTGGCTCTATTATAACCAAAGGTACGAAATAATCTCGCAAATGTTTCTGTAACATGAATCTTGTCTCATAATTCAGGTCGGAATAGAAAACATTAATCAGCATTCAGCATCAATCACAGTGTGTCATATTTGATTAAGTATCACTAAGGATATAATAATTTATAAGGCTATTAGAAGACGTGAGGTAGGCTGGCTAAACGTAGATTAAGGAGTTTGTATTACTTTGGTATTTTCTGGCAAAAAAGAAAATCCAGGCGCCTTTTTCATCTTGGAACTAAGAGCAATCGGAAGCAATAGTACGCGTGTTATCGTAAAAATGAAATTAACACAAGTCACATACAAAATCACGCTTTCGTTGCCCTTTTCTCTTTCGAACGCACGCTCGTTTACGCTCGGCCTTGGAACTCGAGCTAATGATGTACTATAAAAATACATATATATAAATATATACGACTGTACATTGCAATTAATTAGATAGGTATAATATAAACTTGTAAAAGTTCAATTGGCTTTAATTTTTTCTTTTCAATAACTGAACAATTATTGTTCACGATATCTCGAGATTGGTCGTCACTGTCTAATCTCATGTGCGTTGCGAGCAGCAAGCAACCCGCCCCCTCACCCCTGTCCCTACCTAAGGCGCGGCCAGCTAGTTCCGCGCGCACTATAATAATGCCTAAGGTTGTAGTTTTTTTTTGTTATAATTGGTTATAGTTTTCAATTATGCATTTCTTTTTGCAATTTTTTTGTATTTTACTTCTCTTTAAACTTAATTTTTGTTGCTATAATCCACATAGTTATTCGATTATTCGTACTGTTTTGTTTCCCACGAGACTGGCGTAGTTTAGGATCACAGTTATTGTGTAATTTGGTACTCAATGCTACTATAATATTGATGATTTTTTACTCGATAACATAAAATGAAAAATGTAACTATTGTGTGTTATATTTTTGACTTCCTATTTTCTGGTTAAATTCCAATTGTTGTTGTTTCTTTATGCTATTGTATTAATTTAACTTTGATGCATGCTACATCATAAGTGAAATAAGAATTGTGTAAAATATTCGCATGCAAAGTTTTGGTGAAATGTGCGATCTTATATAATATACTATAAGACCTGCAATAACTACATATTTCAGCGAATAAGTATCTTGTATTCTTAGAAAACTGTTAGGATAAAAAAATAAACTTAAGATAATAACGCATAGAAACTTAGACCGCACACGCCGAGTGAGTTAAATCGTAGGGATCCAAATAGGCTTACACGAGCGGGCGGGCCGTCAGTGCTCAAGGTCAACTTGCACCGCGAACAGCTCAAGAATTTTAGCTAAAAATGACGCAATGTGCGGTAAATGGGTGTAAAAATACGTTAGACAAACATAAAATAGCTACAAACAACACATTCCACAAGGAAGTAACGCGTTTCAACTTATATTTTTATGTAAATATTCACTATAACAGAAAATTAATTTCGTTGCAACAGGATATTAAAATGTTGCAAAGTAACGGATTTTTTCTCCCCATTTTGCTATTCTGTTTGAAAATAATTTTATTACTTAAATTTTTGAGAATAGGCAATATCGCGGCGGTTGCAGTATTTCTACAAATGTACACAGCCGCGACAACATTATAGGGAATTTACGGAATATATTTAGTATTTGCCTTCATTAGTTCCACGTGAAACTCATTGTTCTTGTTCATCATACAGGACACATTTTAAAAAATTGTTTTGCCCAGACTCAAAATTCCTAACTAAACTTAATTCAGGGAACTAACACTGACTAAAAAAGTAATCGTCAGTTCTCCAAAGTCGTGTATAGGTAACTCTCAGGTTCAGGTTCTATATTGTTATCATGTACTTTTCATATGTTTGTTCACGGCTATCAGGCTATTTATATATATCCAAATTTTCATGAACTAAAGTGAAATTCCGATAGTCGTACTCAAACTCGCTTTTAGGTTTTTG